TGGGAGATAGATCGAGAGGCGAGAAGGTGAAGACGGGCTCGGGCCAAGGCGTCGAAGTGCTGATGGAGTTGACGAAGTGCGCGCTGCAAGCCCTCTCGGAGGGTCTCAAGGACGACGACCTGGTGATCCCCATCGCGCCCGACAAGTACCGCAGAATGTGGCTAGCGTCTCTGAAAAGGTTGGGCCTTGAGGCCCTTGGCCCACCTCGTGGCATTCGACGCGCGGGTGCAGCTCCGCACGCGGCGAATGGAGGCGACCTGGAGATAGCGAGGGGGAGGGGGCGCTGGGCGACCTCTAGTGCGTTGCAGCGCTACACGAAGACTCACGTTTTGATTCAGCAGCGCTCCATCCTCCAGGCAAATCAGATCGGGGAGGGCGAACGGTTCTGGCAGGCCCCAGGCAAGGCTATGGCTAAGGCGCTGGGGAAGTCCAGAGCGGCAGATAGGCCGCTCACCGTTCGCCTGATTGCAGCTCTTTAGCAGCTTTCAGACGACAGCCTGGATGTAGGGCGCGCGCCGTCTCGGGCGCGGCCTGAGGTTGGGCGTCCGAAGACAGGGGGTAGGGCCCTGCTGCGACGCCGTGGTGCCGCCTAGTCTCTCTTTTGTTTGTCATCTCTCTCTCTCTCTCTCTATCTTTTGTTTTCTCTCTCTCTCTCTCTATTTTTCTCTCTCTCTCTCTCTCTCTCTCTCTCCTGTCGAACGTATATGTCTGTGAAGCTGTGTGTTTGACGATTGATGTGGTGATATGTGCCAAAGCTGGGGGGGGGGATTTTTGAAGGATTTCATACTGTCGTATTCATATCTCCCCGCCCTCCCTCCCTTTTCCTGCGGTGCTGTTTCAAAAATACGGAGCGCAGGGCCTGCGGCCAGAAGGGGCTGTTTGGGCCTTTGCGGAGTTCCGCGCTCTCTCTTTGTGTGCCTGATCGGCTCTTGAGGGCCCATGAAGGTCAGTGGTCCCTCCTTGCGGGGGGCTGGTTTCAGCGTGAAATGGACGAATGCTCTGAGTTGTGCGTGGGGTGTCGGCCCCGCGCTTTTGCTCGTGCTTGAAAGTTGGCCACCCTCTCGCTTCTGCCGATGCGATCGGATATTCAAGTTGTGGCGCCCTGGACTTTTAATCGCCGAGGCCTTTCGGCCGCGGCCGTCTGCCCCCGAACTCTAGCATTAAAAGGCCCCCTTGTGCAGCTTGATTCTAAAAAAGGATTTTGGGGCGCCCGCCCCGCCGGCCTTCCGACGGCCCGAGAGGCCCCCCCAGATCGCTCCAAAATCGCCCGAGAGGTCTCCAAGATGGCCCCCATGACGGCCCAAGAGGCCCCCACGATGCCCCCAAGAGGGCCCCAAGATGGCCCACGAGGCCTCCAAGACGCCCGAGATGGCCTCCAAAATGGCTAAGATGGCCCCAAGATGTCTCCAAGACGGCCCAACATGCACCCAAGACGGCCTGAGATGGCCTCCAGATGGCATAAGACAGCCCAAGAGGCCCCCAAGAGGCCTCCAAGACGGCCCAAAAAAGGCGCCCGGGAGGTCTTCCAGGAGGGCACGCAGAGGCCAACATCATTGATGTTCCATTGGTTTGCTTCGTCTCGGCATTCCGACGGCTTAAAACGGCGCAAGAGGCCCCCAAGATCGCCCACGACGCCTCCAAGATGGCCCCAATGACCCATGACGGCCCAAACGGCCCCCAAAACGTCCTCACGAGGGCCCCCCAAACTGTCCAAGAGGCTTCCAAGACGCCCAACATGGCCTCTAAGAATCCTTGATTTGCCCCAGGGGGGGCTAGTTGTATTTCAGGAACAACCGAACTCGAGTTAGAACCTTGATATACATCATACAATCCAAGATGGTCGTAACTGCATATTAACAAGACACCATAAGATCAAACTTGATCAGGATGTGGAAATTCACGAGCAGCCAAGATACTCCCAGTAAGATCAATATCAGATCTTTGACAGGTATTTAATGGCACAACTTTCTTTGCAAGAAATGGTATTCTCACGCCAACAGTCTGCCTCGTACATAATGTTTGTTGCTTAACATACCTTTTGTAGTGGACACATAATACATTCCCATTCGGACGTGCATCACCATCAGTCCTGATCTTCGCTCCGCAACTCGATGCGCTGACTAGGTGATCCATCCCGAGTTCGACGTCACGTTCGGCTGGGAGGTCCACCAGGTCGCAGGCACGCCGTAGAAGTCGGCGAGCTGGACTCTGAAATCCGCGAAGGCGGCACACTCCGTCACACAGTGACGGACCGAGGGCCAGAAGGCCTCCCCACAGCACGGGCAATACGGGTCGCAGTCGAAGTCGTGGTTCCCCCCGCGCGTGTGGGAGCTGGATGCTCCACACACACATATATATATATATATATATATATATAAATATACGCATGTATCATAACATCTTGCTACTCCAAAGCTTTGCCCGACAGGGCCCCCACGTCCGCATCACTCATACCAGGATAATCACGTCGAGCTGGAGTCGCCGTCGCCAGAGCCCGCAGCCGACACACAGCACGTAGAACATGAAATGCTCGTTCGCCTTCTGAACTCCAAAAGCCTTGGCGGCCCCGGCAGGGCCCCAAAACGACCCAGACAGGCCCCCAAGACGGCTTCCGATTGCGTCAGACAAGCCAGGAACGCCCTAAGGCGGCCAAAGAGGCCCTCAAGAAGCCCCCAAAGGCCCCCCAACACCCTCCAATAGGCCCCCAGGAAACTCCCAGGAGGCCCCAAGAGCGCCCCAATAGGCGCCCAAGAAGCCTCCTTCCCCACGCGTTCCCCGAAGTCTTTCCGAACCGACTCGGGGAACAACTGGCCCGATAGCTTGGCCAAGCTCTGGCCCATCTGTCGGCCACAGAGGCGCTTCCAAAGGGGCCGGGGGCGGCGGTGATTCGCCGTAGGCGTCTTTGATATAAATACAAGCATAAGTCACGCAGCGCCCAGAAGCTGCAACAGCGACTCTCCCCTAAGGGGTCGGCAGTGCGGTGTAAGCCAAAGAATCCGCCGATCCGGCGCGTGAGTTTGAACAAGTCTCAGCTACACCCTACAGCCTAGAGCCTGAGCTTCAGCTCTGCTGGGGGGGGGGAGGGGGGGCTCTGCCTGGGACGGGGGGGGAGTGGGGGGTACGAGTTGTCGTCCGTTTTCCAGGGGGGGGCCCTTTCTGGGCCCACGAGGGCCCCCAGACTGGCTAAGATGGCCCCAAGACCCCCCAAGACGGCCCCAGAGGCTCCCCAGACCGCCCCAGGACGGCCTCAGAGGCTCCTAAGAGCGCTCAAAGACGGCCCAAACGGGCCCGAAGAAGGCCCATGAGAGCTCCAAGACGGCCCAACAGGTTCCAGTGGTTCCCGATAGGTTCCCAAGAGAGCCCCAAGAGGGCCACAGGAAACCACAGGTCCCTATGAGGGCTCCCAGAGGCGCCCAAGATGACCCAAGCCCGCCAAGACGGCTCAGACTCATCAGCATCACCATCACCATCACCATCACCATCACTACTATCAGCATCATCATCATCATCATCATCATCATCATCATCATCATCATCATCATCATCATCATCAGCATCATCAGCATCATCATCAGCAGCAGCAGCATCATGAACATCGTCAGTGTCATCTCCATCGTCAGTAACATCATCACCACCACCATATCCACCACCATCATCACCACCACCAATATCATCAGCATCATCACCACCACCATCACCATCATACTCATCATTATCATCATCATCACCATCATCATCATCATCATCATCATCATCATCATCATCATCATCACCATCACCGTCATTACATTTCTAATAATTGTCACCTTTCTCTTCATATTCATCTTCATCCTCCTCCAACAGTGCGAGGCATTCCTCCTCCTCTTCCTCATCATCCTCCCCCTCTTCTCCTCCTCCAGGGGAGCGTTGGCCTCCTCCGCCTAGTCTTCGTCCTCTTCCCCCTCCTCTGCCTCCTCTTCCTCCTCCTCCTCCCTCCCTCCCCCTTCTCTCTCCCCCCTTTCCCTCCTCCTCCTCCTCCTCTTTCTACTTTTCCTCTCTCCCCTCCTCCCTCCTCCCCCCTTTCCCTCTACCGCTACCCTCCTCCTCCTCCTCCACCTCCTCCTCCTCCTCCTCCTCCTCCCTCATCCAACTCCTTCTCCACCTCCTCCTCGTCCTCTTCCTCCTCCTCCCATATTCCCCCTTCTCCTCCAGAGGGAGGTCTTTCCCATCCCCTTCCTCCTCCTCGTTCTCCTCGTCCTCCCCCTCCCCCTCCTCTCCCCTCCCTCCTCCTTCCCCTCCCTCCCCCATCCTTCTCCTGGCCATCGCCCCTACCCTACACTCCTCTCCCTACAGAGCTTCGCCCCACACAAGAACTCTCCAAGAGGACCCCAAGAGGCCCCCGAAGCCAAGAGGCCCCCAGAGGCGCTCACTCGCGTGCTGCCAGGCCAGAGGTGCACGGCATGACTTGGTATTGCTCGGAAACGAAAACGATGAAGGAAGAACCTTCCAACCGTCGTCGTCACCAATCGTCGGTCGTCGGCCGTCGGCAGCCGTTCGCCGTCAGTCGTCGTCGTCGTCGTCGACGTCGTGGTCGTCGTCGTCGACGACGACGTCGTCGTCATCGTCGTCGTCAACCGTCGTCGTTAACCCGTTCGTCGGTCGTCGTCGTAATGGTCTCACTCGTCGACCGTTGGTCGTCCGTTGTCGTCATCGTCCATCCCAACAACAGCATCAAAAGCGCCCCGGATCGGCGGCACTGGCCGAAGGCCACTACAGTAAAGGAACGAAGCCCATGTATGGCGGCTTTGGAGGATGCCTCGGGCGCCGCGGCCTTCTCAGAGCCTTCCAGTACGCTCCGAGGGCGTTACGGAACGGATCTATCCTCGTCCTTCGGGGGCGCGCAAACATGGATTAGCAAAATGCGGCCGGTGCCGCCTCGTTCGGCGGCGGGACTCCGCGATTTCCCATGGAAGCGGGACCCGTCGCTAATCCACGCCGCCTTGATCCATGTTTCCGATCGCCTGAGTCCTGGCTCCGTCCGACGTCCTGCTCCGCGGTGCGGGGCCTCCCGCGCGGCGCGGGCCCCGGGCGGGCAGGCCGTGCCGCGGGCCGTGCCGCAGGCCGCGCGGCGGCGGTGACCATTGCCGCCGGGCGCGGCGTGCGCGCCCAGACGGCCGCCGCCCCGGGGACCTGGTCCAGAGGTCTGGCGGCGACGCAGGACCGAGAAGGCTATAGGTGACCACACGTGAGCCCGAACCAAGATGAATGGACAATCTCAAGGCAACGCAACAGAAATCAGAGCACTCGTTGTTTTACCAACGCCCGGGCACTCGTTCAGAAAATACCGGCTTCGTGCCAACGGCTTGACATCGCGATACAGGCCCGAGAAGGCTATATAGGTGACCACACGTGAGCCCGGTCCCCAACCCCCACGCTTTCTGGGGTTCCTTTCGCTGGGGAGCTCACGTACGAAGCACACCCCCAACCCCCCTCAGAAATCGAAGGGGCCAGGGGTTAGGGTTCAGGCCAGCCGATACCCCGACTTTGACACGGACCAGTGCCCCGCATCAGTAGGGGACTGCTCGTTGGTAAGCCAGGACGTTGGGGCGCCCGTGAGCTGCAGTCGTGGATCCTCACATCTCCATTAGTGGCTTTCTCTCGCTGTATCTTTCAAACATTGTGGTGCCCTGGTTTCTTTCCAAGGCCCTGAAAAGTAGCCAAGTAAACCCCGATTAGGTTGGGTTAGATTGGGAATGCAACGACATACCGAAACGAATGCTGAATTGAACTTCCCCAGACGTGTAGACTAAACTACGGTACGGTCCTACTTGTCCACGCGACTCAGAAATCCGCCGACGCTGTCGGCGTATGTGAGGGGCTTGTCTGTTCGAGTCGTCGTCTCCGTCAGTCGTCGCCCCTTTTCCCTGCACCCCCCTCCTCAAGCCTGTCAGCGAGAGAAACATCTTGCAATGTCGTAATCGAGTCGAAGGGAAGCCCCTTCCCGTTGATCCCCTCCACGTCGGGGGGGTCCTGGGGAGGGGTCCCCGGGGGGGTGGGGGGGTAGGGGGAGGGTTCAAGCTTCCTACCCGCCTGCAAGCTGTCTTGCTCACTCCCACCCGCCCTCCCAACACATACGTAACACCGGGGAGCCAACATATCGCGTAAGAACGCCGCAAACGCCACGGGTTCCAGATGCACCAGACCCTGGAGGCCCAAGCGTGCCAGGCGCGCCAAGTGCGGCACGTGCGCCCAGCGTTCCACGCACTCCAGCCGCGCCAGCCACTGGGAACCAATAGGGGCTCTTGGGCTCGGCTTTGAATTTTCTTTGTCAATTTCAGACCCATGTGGAGGTTTCGAAATCCCATCGGAAACGGTAAGACGAAAAGGCAACAGCCACTGATGTGTCAAACCAGTTGGTCGACCACCTGCGCCCAGAAGGCAGATGGGATCTGCTGGCACCCCAGCCGTCCCTGTAAAATGCAAATAACAAATTGTCGTGGGGCGGCCGCGTAGGATCCAAATGTGGAGGCAAGGTGCGTCTTGCATTGTTTTTGACAAGGGTGGTGGTGGGGGGGACCCTCATGGGGTTGGCATGGTTCCTGGATGGCCGCCGGCCGGGTACGCCGGGTAGGGGAGGGGGTGTATATATTAGCAGGGAACAATGATCGAGCCCCCCCCTTCGCCCGCAAACCGTCTCGCTCACTCCCACGCGCCCTCCTAACACATAAGTAACACCCGAAGGAGTCTCAGCAGATTGCTTAGGAGCGCAACGCGTGCCATGTGAGCGACGGGTTCCAGCTGCACCACGGACCCTGGAGGCCCACGTTTAACCTATATGCTGGCACCACCGCCGTCCCTGTCAAAACCCTATGCATCATGGTCGCGGGCCGTCCGCGCACGCTCCAAATGTGGACGCAAAGTGCATTAAGTATCCATGTTTGCCAATAATGGTAGGCCTGCGCGCTGCGAGCAAATATGGCGGACCCCCCGCCGTTCTCATCAAAAACCGATGCAAAGTGGTCGCGGGGCGCCCGCGCACGCTCCAGACGTGCACGCAAAGTGCATTATGTACTGATGTTTGCCAAGGACGATTGGCCTGGCGGTGGCCATGTATAAAATAAAAAACTGACCCTCCAGGCGGTGGTCATGTATAAAATATCGCCTCGGAGTAGAAAGGATGGCTGACCTGCGCGCGGCGAGCAATATGACAGCACCCTCACCGTCCCGGTCAAAAACCAGAATGCAAAGTGGTCGCGGACGCACGCGCATGCTCCATATGTAAAAGCAGCATGCACTCTGCCTAAAGGATGGTTGCCTTGCGCGCGGCGAGCAATACGACAGCACTCCCGCCGTCCGTGTCAAAAACCATGCAAAATGGTTGCGGGGCCCCCGAGCACGCTCCAAAGGTGGACGAGACATGCATTCAGTAACGACGTTTGCCAAAGATGGTTGGCCTGCGCGCAGCGAGCAATATGACGGCACCCCCGCCGTCCCTGTCAAAAACCAGAATACAAAGTGGTCGCGGACGCCCGCGCACGCTCCAGATGTAAATGCAAAGTGCGCTCTGTGTAGATGCGAGGCAGGGATTTATTCATATCCCGAGGCTCCGAAAACTGACCCTCCAGGCGGTGGTCATGTATAAAAAATCGCCTCGGAGTAGAAAGGATGGCTGACCTGCGCGCGGCGAGCAATATGACAGCACTCCCGCCGTCCTTGTCAAGAACCTACGCAAAATGGTTGCGGGGCCCCCGAGCACGCTCCAAAGGTGGACGGCGAAATGCATTCAGTAACAAAATTTGCCAAAGATGGTTGGCCTGCGCGCACCAAGCAATATGACGGCACCACCGGCATCCCTGTCAAAAAACAAAAGCCAATGCAAAGCGGTCGCGGGGCGCACGCGCATGCTCCAGACGTAAAAGAAAAAATGCATTATGTATTGCGTTTTGACAACAATGGTTGGCCGGCGCGCAGCGAGCAATATGACGGCATCCCGGCCGTCCTTGTCAAAAACTACTGCAGGGTGGTCGCGGGGCGCCCGCGCATGCTCCAGATTTGGAAGCAAAATGCACTCGGTGTTGCTTTTGACAAGGATGGTGGAGGGGGGGGGGACGTCTCGGGTTGGCCCACAGTCGGGTGGAGGGGGTATATGTAAATATAGAGCAATGATAGGGCGGAGCCTGGCCCGCAGGACGTCTCGCTCACTCCCACCCGCCCTCCCAACACATAAGTAGCACCCGAACCGCAGTCGCAGCGTGTTCAGCGGTAGATTTTGGATGGGCAGCTGATGGGAACCAAAGCAGACCCCATGTGCGCAACGCGGGGGCAAGGTGCGCCATGCGTGCCAGGCGCGCCAGGCGCGCCAGGTGCGCCAGGCACCCCTGTGGCCCAAGCGTGTGGGGACGCCTGGTGCGCCAGGTGCGCCACGTGATCCACGTGCGCCATGTGTGCCGCATGCTCCAGCCGCGCCAGGTGCGCAACGTTCGGGGCACGCGCAGGGCGTGCCAGGTGCGCCTGCGCACGTGGCAATACAGATCGTCGGGAAACGTGTCGGCCCCCACCACCCTTGCCGAACCAGTGCGCCATCGCGAAGGGGTGGCCATAATAGCGTCTGGTTGGCCTGCACATAACAGGCAATGTGCCAGCACCCCCGCCACCCCAGTCAAAAGCCAATGCACAGTGATAGCGGGGTGCCCGCACATGATCCAGATTTTGCCTCGCAGTAAATGTTGTATTGTTTTTTTGACAGGGGTGCTGGCCCTGCGTGCAGCAGGCAATATGTGCCCCCCCCCTGCCGTCCGTGTCAAACATAATACAGAGTGCTCGCGCCCTTTCCCCCCAATCATGACCCAAGACTTTGCCCTAAAAAGAACTTCACATTGTTTCGACAAGGATGGTGGGGGGGTCTCATTGGTCCTGGTTGGCTGCCGGTCGCCTGGGGGAGGGGGTGATACGGTGGCTGGGGGGGTCAGAGACGCATTCCTCCCTGGGATCCTAGGGCCTCAGAAAGTACAAAGACAGGCCACGAGTTCCCCGAGAGGCCCCCGAGACGGTCCAAGAGGGGACCCAATCGCCAAACGATCTGGCAAAAACGCATTCATGTCCTCCAGACAACCCAAGTGGCCTCCAAGACGCCCCAAGAAGTCTCCCAGAGCACTCCTGAGAGGGCCCCAAGAAGCAAACATAATGAATTGTTCCTTAGGTTGTTGAAGGAGTTGCGCGTTCTGACCTTTTCCTCTTCCCGCCACGCCAAGGCGGCCCAAGAGGTCTCAACATCAATACTAGTATCGATATCACGATCGATCTCACTATCGATGTCACGATCGCTATTTCTATGGATCCCACCATGGATCTGACAATACATCCCATAATCGGTCTCCATATCGATATCACGATCGGTCTGACAACCCATCCCGCAGTCGATTTCACGATCGATCTAATAATCTCACAATCGATCTCACCATCCATCTACTGATCGATCCCACTTTCGATTTCATGATCGGTCTCACTATCTCTCAGTATGGGTCTCCTGATCGATCTCACAAGACACCACGGAACACTAAAGGACACTACACCACGGGACACCACGGGCCACCGCGGGACAGCACGACAATCGATCATTACAAAAAAAACCTCCTCCTCCCTCCTGCTCAGCCGCGAAGGGAGCGGCAGAGACGAGGGAGGCGGCGACGGCGGCGGCCCCCCTCCTCCTCGTCGATCGTCGTCATCGTCGTCATCGTCGTAGTCGTCACCGACCGTCGTCGTCACCGTCGTCGTCGATCGAAATCGTGGCGTCCCCTGTTCCTCCGGTCGCTCCTCCTCCTCCCCCTCTTCCTCCTCCTCCTCCTACTCGAACTCCTCCTTCTCCTCAGCCTCCATTTTCCTCCCCGCTGGTCGTCGTCCTCCTCCTGGAGAGATGCCAAAGGAGGAAAGTCTAGGAATGCCAGAAAAGAAACCCGCCTGAAACACCGCCACCACATTTTGGGTGCGGATCCCGACGTGTCGTGACCCCTGGCGGATCGATCCCCCTTGTGGTGGCAAATTGCCACGCCTGCTGAATCGTGGTAGGCACTGGGCCAAAGACAGCGAGAACAATTATCAGGCAACGCAGATACCAATAACACTGGTCACGCGAGTCGAAAGTGAGCCTGGTAGGTCAAATGGCATCCGTCTCCATGGGAGGCGGATGAGCTCACATGCATCCAATTCCATGTCGAAGGAATACGATATGGGG